AATTGCAATAGCACATGTAGTATCAAAGAAGACAGGCTCTACTTTGCTGAACTTTTAAAACATACAAAACCCATCTAATACTCAATGGAGTTCACATTATAGACAGAAAAAAGGATTGGAAAAGGAAACAAGCATGAAGTAGGCAAATGTCATATAGAAAGTACAATCTTTTGTACCTCATGCTTGTGAGAATACGTATTCTGGTTTTGCAATAGATGATGTATTATTTATTTTTCTTTAACTCAAAGAAGTCAAATGGAAACCTAAAAAAAACCCCATAAAAAAGCATAATAACAATCTTCTTTTCTGGTCCCTTTTCTCTAGACTAGGAATTTTGGAGTTTGTTTGGTGAGATGGCAAGTATTTTAAAGGCACACTCTGTCCTTTCGATGGACAAAGTACTTCTGAAAATCTTCCAACTTCAAATTCTCTTTAAAAACTTAATGAAAGAAAACATTTCTGACAGTTGTTTTTCCAAGACTTTTGTTTTTCATCTTGTGTCATAACAGAAACTTTAGAATACAGATAGTTTTTCTTCCCAAAGTTTTGTGTTCAGCACACTTCTGGAACATTGAAATAATAATAAGAAAAGATGAATGAACACCAGCAATTATTTCTGGGACACAGAATTCCTCCTTTTTTTTTTTTTATTCCACAGCAAAATCCAACATGCTTTTTATTTTGTTATATGCAAAGTATATACACTTTATCAGTGTCCCATTACAAAAACTAAAAATAATGCATATGTTAGCATGACTGAAATGAGAACACAGACAAATATACATAAAGTATGTCACCCAACTTGAGCCTCAAAGTAGATTTCTTATTCTAGCAATAATTCTTAAAAAAAGTTATTTTTTATTACTGGCCTGAGGCAAATTCAACTGAGATTATGCTTCTCAGGGGAAAAGAAGTATTTTCTGAAGCAAATGTACAACTTATCAGAGTACGCTGTAAAATCTGAAGATATTTGTCCTCTGAGTCATATTAGCACAGTCCACAGAATTCCACAGTTCCTTCTCTAGAGCATGTATCACCTGATTGCACGAGAGTAATATCTGTTTTGTGATCCACTTAAGCTTTCTATTACCAGATTTTGCTTTCTCTTAAATTCGTCTGTGACAGTCCTAGCTCTTATTAGACAATTTTAAGCATTCTTTACTAACTTTGATTAACATGAAGATCATGACAGGTCCTTATGGCTCTAGATTTTTCATTTTGAGCTTCATCTTTTTGACCTTTAGGAGTCTCTGTGGTCTAATTCTCCTATATCATAACAATTTAGGGGTTTCTATATTCAGTGTAAAGCTTTCAGTCCTAAGTCTCCAGCCTTCTATTTTCACATACAGAGTCCATTTCAGCAAGAGATGCATCTTTAAAATATCACCATGTTTTTCTCTCTCTGGAATATTTGTATGCTTCAAAAGAATTATTATTATTATCATTATTATTTTAAAAGATGGTAAGTTTGCATCTTATATAATTGCAGGAAAATTGCTGCTGAGTTCTGATAAAAAATATTCAAGTGTCTCGGTTGATTTCTGCTGTAAGACAGAAAAAGCCAAAGAACCAACTGATGAGAAACATGCAAAAAGTGAAACACCGGCAGCAGCCACCTGCTGTGACATTACAGACTGAGAGCAATACAACCACACTAAAAGGAAGGAAAAATGCTCAGTAAAAATTATGTGGGATAAATCATTATGTGGACACAGACAACATGAATATGGTAAAAGCTGCAAAATGAGAACTGCTAAATAGATTAGGATTGGCTATACCGCAGTCTCACAGTCTGACTGCAGTTTGGAAAACAGAAGATATAGGTTCTCCTATGACATGAAATCTGGTCCCCTGATACTGCTGGCAAGCAAGCTGTAAGACTTCCTTTCTTAAGCCTTATAAAAACAGTTGTTGTTTTTTGCCCCTGACCTCCCATTGAAAAATGGTTCTAAAAACAAAGAATCAGCATAGTTGAAAGGGGTCTCAAGACAGCATTTAGTCCACCCTACACCTCTGATGCATAAAAATGTTCTTTTAATTTCAAGATGAAATGAAGCCTAACATAGTTATTATCTTCTTAAATGAAATGTTCTCCAGTGCTCTATTTACACATTTTTCTTTCCCACTTTTTATGAACACAAGTCGACTTTACAGACCACAGACTCTGAACGGTACAGCTGCATAAGACCTACAGCAACTCATGCCATTCAAACGTTGTGAAAGTTTCCCAGAGTTCATCCTCACTAAAGGTAAAGAAGAAACCTGAAGAATCTCCTTTTAGATTAAAGCTATAGTCTAGTGGTGGAAAGAGAGAACTGGGCATTTAAAACCTTTGGGTTTATTCTCAGCTATGCCTTTAATTCACTCAGTGAAGGTTTGGCTCAGAAGATCCTTTACTCCAGATCTGATATCCAGCAGACTGAGTAGATTACTCCCACCTTCACTGCAACTTTTCCTGAGATTATTTAGCTTTTCAAGTGCTCTGAGATATTCGGAATAAAAGGTTTTAAAAGCAAATTAAATTCAGTGAATATATTTCACTGCCTAAGTTTAGTATCACTACAACCAGTAAAGATGGGAAATTCATAGTAATAAAGCACAATAATTTCTCCTTTATTCACTATGGTAAAAATCCATAATTCTAATTGTTTCGAAGGTTACATATCTACAACAAAAAAACAAAAATTTGACTGAAGCAGAAGAACCTCTGATGAATACAAGTTTTGATATTCCAGCTCCTCATTCATTAGGGTTTTCTTAATATCAATATTTGACCCATTCAACAATTACAAGAAGGCATAAAAATATTTCAGATTGTTCTGTCCTACATTAATGAAGCAATCTCTTAGAAAAAAGGTACACTTATAGACAAGGTCCTACTATGGCTGCAAAACTTTTGACTCAAGACAGATAACTTCCATGTTCAAATTCACTGAAACTTAAACAGAACACAGACTTTATACCCCAGTCCTTTGTCTTGCAAGTACAGCAGGGTTTATAGAGGACTTCTACCTTAGGTTGGTTTCCATTGGTGCCTAAGTGTTAGCAAGATAACTATGTACTCCAAAGCTAAACACTTCTTTGAAACCATCAGTGCTATAATTTTCTAATTAATAAAAAAGCCCGAAAATATTTCCATAGCTGAACTGGTAACTGTTTTGTGACACAGCAAAGACAACATGCTAAGACTGGTAATAAACTACAAAAACCAGTAATGATAATCTCAAATCCGTTACAATTAAGAAATTTTTACACTAAAGGTTTTCCTACTTTCCTCATGGAGTTCCCTGAGAAATTAGAGCTATGTATTTTTCATTTTAGACCATGGGAAGATTCTGTGCAAAACAATATACTGCTTTCCTTCACAAACATTAGTATGGGATTGTCAGTATGAGACAAAAAACCTTCAGATTGTGCTCTTTTCTATGCTAGTCAGGAACAACAGACCTAGACCATAGGTCTGCTTTTCTGTGTACCATCAGGGAGAAACAAATATTTTGAAACACTTGGTATAATTTTAAGTTATTAGGTCACTTATTAAAGCTCAACTGAAAGACAAGAACAAACCTGTTGGATGTTTTCAATCTACTGAAAATGCAATTCTACCACCAGGATAAATGTTAAAAAGAGAACAAAACATGGGAAAATGCACAAAACCTTAAAATTAGAGAAAGGTACTAAATGATCCTTTCCTTAGTATTGAATTACTGCCAGTCTAACAAATAGACCACAGATGATGACAAACCTCAGAATTAAGCTTACTCTCTGAAATGAAGGCATGTAAAAATGGGTTTAATATGTGAAAAAATGTATTTTTCTTCTACCTCTTTAATATTCTGTAACAAAATTGAGTACATGTTTCATAGTGTGCAACATTAGGCCTGGCCATTAAGCACAAGAGGGCTAAAACCAAGTCTCATTTTTCCTTTGAGCTGTGCTCATTCTTGGTCGCTGGGGAGATTAACACCACCATCTGTGATTCACCAGCAGAATCTGTCTTCTGCAGTTTTGGCCACTTCCAATTTTCACCCAGGTTATGCTTTCTACCTAATACCCCCTTCAGTGACAATCCACCACTAGAATTCAAATTATCATGAAATACCACCCCAAGGTTAATCTTCTGATGATGATCACCTATGCTTGCTAAGACTGCTTCAGCTTCTCATTGTTCTGCAACAATAGCCTTTCCTCTGGCTTTGACAGTGTTACCCATTCAGGAATACTCACACCGAGGTTATCTTCCCAGTGCACTGCAGTGAACGTGTCACCCTGCTCTCTACGCGTCTCTGCTACTTTTCTCTCTTTCACCCATATACTACTATGCATCATCTCATTCACCTTCAAGAAAGCAATGTCCCATTTTGATGTTCCCATCACACAAAACCCACCACCTGTATTTGTTCAGATATAAGAAAAAGCCTCTATATGCTTTTCCATATGTTTCTCTTCATAAATTAGGTACCCATAAAGAGCTTCTATTCATTCAAAATCATCTCACCTGTAGCTTCAAAGCCTGACAGCTGCTAGGCTGCTGCCGTGCTAAGGTCACTATCGCTATTGAAGCTTACTTCAGCACTTCCCGGTGGTTCCATGTATTCACTTATTGGCTCCTTTTGTATTTAGATTTTAAACTTATCTTTTTCTGTGCTGTACAGGGCCAGATATACTGGAGTCCTGGGCTCATAGCAAGAGTTCCTATGTACTCTAGTGATGAAAATAAAAAACAGCAGGAACCTGCAAAGACATGTCCACATCTGCAACAACCTTGCTTCAGGAAGCTCATATTCTAGGTGATATTGTGAAAAAGCTGAATTACATATATTTCTGACTGATAAACTGTGTGAATTTCAGCACACACAAGCAACACAGAGACAAACACACTCTGGCGACTAACGTTAGGCGTAGAGCATACAGACATGCACAGATGCCCTATGGACACAGGGACATCCATGGCATATGGCTATAGATACTTGCTGAAGGGAAAACTGGGAATTACTTACCACACTGCAGCCGGGACAGTCAGGACCATTTTCACATGTCCGACGCCGTGCCTGGATCCCTCCTCCGCACTGAGCAGTGCAGCGCTCCCATGGACCCCAGCTTGTCCAAAACACATGAGGGGGGCACAGCAAATGCTCGTTGCAGTACCTGTGAGAAGAGGCAAACAAGGAGGCAAAGAATCTATTTAGTACCAAGACAACACATCCCCTCAAAGTCCATCATTTGCATTATTCAGATAGATGTCTGTACAGGGAAATACTTTGTACAAAGGGCCTCTCTCTGTTCATAAAGCACTGAACTAACAGTTGTCACACTGCACAGAATATTTAAACAATTGTTTGCTTTATTCAATGCCTTTATACAATCCATGCCATACAACCACGCGATTGTACTGCGAGCACGTAAGCAAGGTTGACAACTACTTCATGAAAAACAGTTGTGGCTATACATCTGGGGCAGAAGTGAGCCAACCAAATGGAAGGCAACAATTGATGCAGGCAATCTTTTATCATTCTCCAGCTAAGCATTGATTAGGATCCATCTCTCTCCTCTTCAGAGAGCTAAACCTGGTTTTGCTTTCCACAGTGTCTCCACTTCTATGGCTAAAATAAAAGCTAAAACATTGATTCTAGGCATAAAGAACTGTACTGTTTTCATAATATTATTGCTTTATCTTTTAAAGAGTGTTTTTAGCTATTATAGTTTTTGAAGGAGCGGGCTGCAAACTGATTCAGAGGTAATTAGGTTCCTGAGGGAAGCAGGAATATTTTACTACTGAGCTGTCATCATTGTAACAAGACATTCAGATGTGTGAGAAGGTCCCAACTTTTAGTGATTTTTTTTCATTTTTTGTAAAAACCTAAGATTCATGATTTTTTGAGCATGCCATCCAATAACTCCAGATGTAGCATATGCAGCTTAGTAAGGACCCTCTACACAGGTCCAAAGGATTTGGGCCACCAGCAAATATATCTGGGGCTCTTAAAGAGACCAAGCTGTTATTTCAGATAAAGCAAAGCCACAACAGATATTCAGAAAGCAGATGACCCTGAAGGGTGCTCTAATATTGTATGGATGCAGCTGGGTGACTCTTGTTCCAACTACTGAATGTCCTAAACAAAGAAATCAATCTGTTACAGTATTTCCTCATTTTTTACACCAGTCATCCAAAATCCACTGTCCTCTTGCCCTTCTAACAAGTTTCCGTCACTTCGCACTCTCGTGCAATAAAAACTGACTCTAATAGTTCATTATTAGAATATATGAATAAATATAACAAATAAATTAATACTTTCTAAAAAAAAAAAAAGAAATGACAGTATAAACTGTTGTCATTTTCAACAAGAATAACCATAACCACTTTTTTTTTTTCAGAAAGCCCCAGGATACACAAGCTCTAATTCTTCATTACCAAAGAATTTGCACGTTCAGAATTCCGTGGGAAAAAAATGTTGTTTGTGTATGTTATACGCAACAAGTAGGTTTATTACATATGCTGGAGCATATGATTCAGAATTTGTCACTAGGTCTGAGCAGCTCCATCAAAATTTAAAAGGTTGGGAGTGGGGTAAATAGGGGAGTGACATTTAGCTTAGTATTTCTGTATAGTTAAGGAAACTATTAACAGCTTGTATGACCTTGTCTGTTGTTTACTAGTAAACCGAGGGGAAAAAAAAAAACAAACCCTCAATGAATCTGCTATCTCAGAATTCTTCAGTGTGTGATTTGGGTAAATGCTTTCCAACAGTAGCTTATACATAAACTACCTTTTTTCCATCCTGCACAATCAGTATTTGCAATTCACCGTTCTCATTATGCTGTCACTAAAGATGCAGAGGAATGTTCTGCGCCTGGATATTCTTCCCCCAAAACTCAAACAGCTGCACATATTCTTTGTCACATGCAGTCATTTATGTGAATGTTTGTGACAGTTTGTCTCCATGATCATTTGTTGAGAACACGTACTCAATGAAACACAGACCTAACACCACCGTTTATTTAGTCAAATAAGTACATATTTTGCATAATTTCTTTAGTTCTTAATGGAGATGTGCGAAGTTCATTTGGGACACGCACACAGGATAAAGCAAGTCTGCCATGAGGTTGACAGTTACCAAGATTCAGCCATGCAAAGAGTAAAATTAAGGGTGGGACTCATCTCACCTTAAAATCTAGGCATGTACAGTATAGCTGCCTATAAATGAGGTAGGTGTCTAAACTTGAGCAATAGCTCATGGAAAGAAACAGCTCTTTTAAAAACCTGATTTATGTCACCCTAAAGCAAATGCCTAATGTAGGTCTCTCCTGGTTTTGGGTGGGATAGAGTTAATTTTCTTCCTAGTAGCTGGTACAGTGCTTTGTGTTGGATTTAGTATGAGAATAATGTTGATAACACACTGATGTTTTAGTTGTTGCTAAGTAGCGCCTACAGTAAGTCAAGGACTTTTCAGCTTCCCATGCTCTGCCAGTGAGGAGATGATGCACAAGAAGCTGGGACAGCCAAGACAGCTGACCCAGACTGGTCAAAGGGACATTCCACACCACACAACATCATGCTCAGTATATAAGCTGGGAGGGAGTTGGCCAATGGGTGGTGACCATGGCTGGGGAACTGGCTGGGCATCAGTCAGCGGGTGGTGAGGAACTGTATTGTGCATGACTTATTTTGTGGTGTAGTAGTAGTAGTGTAATAGTAGTAATAATAATAATGACTTCCTCTGCCCTTGCTGTCCTATTAAGCTGTTTTTATCTCAATCTGTGAGTTCTACCTTTTTTTTTTCTGCTTCTCCTCCCCATCCCAGCGTGGGGTGGAGGAGTGAGTAAGTGGCTGCATGGTGCTTAGTGGCTGACTGGGGTTAAACCACGACAAGGTCATACAAATACAGCCCTCAATATACTGATTTCTCTCCATTGACTATAAAGGCTGCATGGGAGACAGACATCTAAGCTTCCATTACAGTCAATGGAAATTTTGTCAATACAAACTATGGAGACTAGAATGAATAATTTGACCAAATTTAGGAATATACCGTAGAAGGAGACAAATCACTCTGTTCTCTGCAGCCTGTATTGACTGGATTTCTACAGGCTGTAGCTGAAGTTCAGACACCTGACTCATGCATAAGCACTCACATTCGTGGACACCTGAAGTTAGGTGTGACAAATCTCAGATGAGATTCATTACACGACACAGTGCCTCTTTTGGTGTCCATGTGCCCTACCATCTGCTCGCTTACTTACGCGCAAGACAGAAAATAAATCTAACAACTGACTCAGGAAGCACTTCAAAGGCTGGCAAATTCTGTTAACCAACTCTATTTAAAGATGCAGTTGAAACTACAAGATGAAACTTGAAAAAGCCTTAAAATGCCTATGCAAGCTACTTAACTTCAATTTAGGAATTACTTTTTTTAAAATCAACAGAAGTGAGTGGCATTTTTTTTCAGGAAAAGGAAAAAAATACAATGTAGCATACAAGTAGAATCTTATTTTCATTTCAGTCAGTCAGCCTCTGAAAACATCAGGTATGTTTTCACAGCTAGAGACATCCCTGCAATTGATCTTTGAGAGCTGTACTACAGCACGGGGCTTTGAGCCAAGTTTCATTATATCTCTTCTTGGCTGCATTTCAAATCACTCAATAACCCTTTTTCCCTTTTGCTCTTTCTTCCCCTCTTAATTTTGTTCTCAGGACCCACAGGGCTAACATTTTACAGTAATTCAGCAAAACATGCAATGCAAGAAACTTGAATCTGTGAAACCACTGCCCTCTCCCCTAATCTAACTGCAATGAGGTCAGAAGGGACAATAGCCTAGAGAAATGTGGGTTTTGTACAGTGAACCTTCCCATTTCCCCTTGCAGTGAATCCAAGTTCAAATGCCCTAATAAAGGAATTGTCATACTAGGGGAAGGGAGAACATCCTCTGCCCAGTTGTGTCCACAGCCACTAGTTCCTACGGTAATTTTTTAATCTTTACTCCAGGCAATTCCAGCACAACTGGAATTACCATTCTTGTTCCTGTGAAGATCTCACCCTTTAGTAAAACACCACTTTATTTCAGTGTTGCCATGAAGCACTGAGTACCACAGTCTGTGGTACAGCATGACAGTTACAAAAGTGTCTTTTTTATTCCACAGAGAGATGCTATTTAATTTATTTTATTTAAACATTATACTAGCATGTATTTTAAAAAAAACCAAACTAACCTTCATCACTCTCTGCCCATTCCTATGCAATATACTGTTATGTGGCGGGTACACGTGATTACCAGCTGGTGACTTTCTGGGAAGCACAGACTGTACTGAGGTTGATGGGAATGCTGGATTCCTTTAATTGAAGGCAGACACACAACGCACACTCCTGCCTTACTGGATTGCGATTGATGAACTGACAGAAATCCCCACCCAGGAGACTGCGGAAGGTGGTGGGGGCCACAGCACGTGCTCCCAGGGGAAGAAGAAGAAAGCAAGGAAGAAGAGAAAGCAAGGAGGATGGGAGCACACGCTTCCCAGCAGGCAGGGCTGCCGTGGGAGCGCAAGCAAGCCCAAAGCCTCGTGGTGCTTGATCTGCTCTGCTGAAGGGGACCAGGCTTGTTCGCACTGCTCGGAAACAAGCAGTGCTGCACAGAGCAGGCACTTGACTCTCAGCAGCTCCTCCTTCTCATGGAAACAAGCCCCAAAGCTCTGAATATCTGCTAAGGATGTGTACAAAAAAGGTGACAATTATGTACTGCTTCTAATCTTCTTGCACACTCAAAAATTTCCAGGGCTTTCAAATGTTACTCCTCATCTGCAGCCAATTTATTTTTCTTCTTCTGTTTTGCCATGCTTTTTTTCTTCCTTTTTTTCCTATGCAATAAAAGATAACTACGCTCACTAAAAGCAAGGGATTCTCATTCTAATGTCCCTCATTTCTGCACAGATAGGAGTGAGACCAGTGGACTTAATGAGCCCATATCCACAGCATCTTCCACAGAAAGGAGAGGATAAACTTTTTAACCCAATGAAAAATTCAAGACTGGATACTATAGACTCTGTAAAACCTAGAGAGTTTTCCAGCAGCTTCAGAGAATATTTCTCATACAGGAAAAAACACATTTTTAAGCCCCTAAGGAATTCATCAGGATGTCTTCCATCTGGAGTCATAACTACAAAATTATTTTATCTGATTAGCAAATTTTGTTAAAATACTATTTTCACTCCCTCTCCATATTCTGAATAAAAGCACATAAGCTGCACTTTTGACCCATATCTACAAGGCAAATTGGCTTTGTAATATGAGTCTTTGCTGCTTTGTCTCAACTTTGTTTTCCACTCCCCACACACCCCTTTAGCAGCAGAGCATGCAACAGCTTAACCTATCCGCAACACTTTAAACGGGTAAATATTGCCATTGATTTCAAGGGAATGACCAGCAAGCCCAGAGCTGCCCAATAGATTAGCCATGATACGATCATGGCTTTCATGAGGTAAAACAAACATAACATAGACAAACACTTAGCTCTTAACGCATGAACAAATACTCTCAAACTGAATATGCATTCACATCTGCAGGTGAATTTCCCTCAGCTACATGCTGCCTTTTCTGTGTTTGCTTTCTATGGAATTATGCACTGGACTTCTACTGAAATCACTGTTTGTTGAAAAGCTGTTTCAAAGTTTGGCACAATGTTGGCTGTGGAAACCGAATCCCATATTTATATCCCTGAACACGTGAAGGTGACATGAACGTGCACTTTTATAAAGACAAATGCACTCAATGCATGAACCAACTAATTCTAATCTTTACTGAGACTACACATATATTAATTTTACATATGAGGGGGGCAATTAAGAAAGTAAAATGTTAGGCTATTTATAAGCATTGATTAACTAAAATGAGAAAATCTAAAAAAAGAAAACTCCTTAAGAGTTACTGCACGTGGAATATTTGCTCAGCCTGCCTAAATGTACAGGGCCCAGTTCTCAAATGTACTGTTTCCATTTAGTGCAGCTGTAACTCCAGTGGTACTGGAGTGAAACAGTGAATTTGGACTACTGTAAATACCGGTACTCCGTTGCCCTCACAGCTCAAAATTCTCTACAAGTTGTACAAGCACTGTACACACATAAAGCCCTAATGGCTTGCAACCAGCCTCACCTGGGACACCCACCAACACCCATGGGCCTGGGAGCTCTATTTAAGCTCTGCCAGGGACCTTCAACCCCTGCCTGAGCTGTGCTGTTGGAGAAGTGCTGGACCTTGCCTATGGACCACCATGGAGACCCTTGGTCTTGACCTCAGTGTGTGGACTGGCCTTGGCTCTGTCACTACACACCTGCCCAGTGACAACTGAACCTGATCCTAACCCTGGCCTGTGTCTTGGCTTCCCAGCTGGACCTCAGACCTGCCTCCGCCATGGTATCACCTACGATCCAGACTCTTAGTTGGCTCTGGCCACAGTCTCCAGGCTTGCCCTGCTCCCCTGCTGAGGGTGGTGGGATGGGTCCTGGCTGGTGAATTTCCCAGGACACTCTGCTTTTTACAGCTCTGAAAAAATTTATCCAAGTACTTGGCCTGACACTGACAAAAACCCTGGCAACTAGCCGATGCCTTATTCCTCTAGCTGCTTTACAAATGATATGACAAAGCTTCCTAACATACCACACCTTCTGGAAATAATTTTTAAAAGTACTTAAAAAAAAACCCCAAACTTTAAAAGTATCAGCACACATCGTGGGTAACACAAACAAAATCAGGTTAGAGGCAGGAAGGCCAGCTGGGAGCAAGCCACTGAGTGAGAGGAAGGTGCAGGGGCGGTGAGAGTGGAGGGTGTTTCAAGGAGACGGGAAATGGCGACCGGGGACCTATGAGAGAAAAAGGCATCCTGCAGCAAACTCACAGGCACATACACCCAGATTGCTGCTGAACTGGATGAAGAGGGAAAGGACAAGTAAACTGCAGGCTACAAAAGCAAAGCAACAAAAGCCTGCTGTTCCTTCAGAACGTACCAAAATGCAATCCTTCTAGGTTGCTATTATTGCAGCTCATTGTAAGTATCACTTTCCATTTTGTAACTGCTTTTTAGTGCACCCGTTGTTTTAATACCAGATATTTTCTCCTGTAATTATGGAAGTATTTCTCATGGTTTTCTGTATTTCTCTGAAACTCCTCATTGGACATTTATTCCATGTTAAACTTAAGACGAACAATGACTACTAACATTCATAGTCCATCGCCAAAAAGTCTATCCAAACTAAACTGTTTTCATTCTATATTCAATCTTACTGTGTCCCGCTCTGGGCTGACCTCTTAGTTCAAGAAACTCACACCATACTGGGACAGAGCTATGTAACGGCAGATACGATCTACATTTGGTGGTGATGGCGTTTTGGTTGGGCAACTTTCAGAAAGCAATTTACAAAATAACAAAATGCTCTCCTCTGTGATGAAATGGTAAATATTCATGGCTGTGAATCAGCAAGAAGTGTTCGCACGTTCTGTGATACTGATCCTTTACATTTAGAGTTAGAAACACCAGGTCCCCGATGATCTGTTAATTCATAAATGTGTGATGCAACTTCCCTTCAATGGAATCTCTTCATCTGAAGAAATGCCAGAGTTGGTGTTTAATTAATCCCTCACAGAAACTCATCGTAAAGGTTACTGAATCTTGCTTTCACCCAGCAGCAATATAGGATACTAAATCATCCATACAGAAACACTGAAGTAAGCTGCAAGTGCATATTGAAATGAAACATATCCACATACATCTCTTGGAACGGATGACTACAGTACTCCGAATTCTTACACCAACACCAGTCTTCTGCTATCTAGCTTTTTGGCACGCCTCGGGAAACAACATAATACATCTAAGAGCTGCAGTTTATCTGAATATATTCTAGTTTGGTTTAAAGAAATATTTAATTCCTGTTCAAATTCCCAACATACAAATTACAAATTAGAGACATCAGGGTGAGTGTAAAATGGAATTAGAGGCCTGAACTTTACATTCTGAGGTAGCGACAAAATACCTAGCCCAGTGCCAAAGCAGTAGATGGTGAAATCAAAACCTAAGGTAACTTGATTTGCTCAGGGGTTAACATATATATACAAACAAGTTAAAAAAAACCCTGAAACCTTACTAGAAGATATTTAAGTTCAAGGTGTATTACATTTATCGAATATAAAACAAAGCCCTTGAAATTTCCTTTCATGTTATATAGATGCTTAATTCATTTAAGACAGAAAAAAATGAACTCACAGCATCAGCAACATAGTGCTGTGACCTTCCTATGTTTTGCTCTGAATTCCAGGTCTTGAGGCTGGGCGAGTTACAATTCAAACACACTGCAATCAATTTTCAAGGAGAATCAATTTTCAGGGTCTCAAGGGACAGCAGCACATTGCTTCAGCACAATTCTCTGGCACTACCAGGAGCTCTCAGCTGGCTTGGGAGGGATGCAGCTAAGTGAAAGGTGAAAGAACCGCCGCAGACCCACAGCCTTGCTAATGGGAATACTGCTACTGTGCAGCAGCGGAGTTAAAGAGAGAGTGAAAGGAAAGGGAAGAGAAAAAGCAGGTAAAGGAGAAAATGTCCTGTGGAATACAGCTAAGCAGAAGAAATTAAAAAAAAAAAGAGTACAAAAAAGATAGCTCACCTCTCCTCACGATTCTGTCCCACGCAGACGCGTCCTCCATGTCGAGGGGTTGGATTGCTGCAGGAACGCTGACGAACTTGAAAGCCTATTCCACAAGTGGTACTACAAGGTGACCAAGAGGTCCACGGTGTCCAGCCTCCATTTCTGGTAGAATAAAAAGCTCAGGCTCTGTCATCTGTTATACATAGCGAATGGCTGATTAGGTGTGACTGACAGCAGAATCTGGCCCATTAATATTTCTGTAGAAGTCATTAATACTGCATTGTGTTCCATTTCTTAAAGAATACTGAACTAAAATAAAGGTGCTCTGATCCTCCCATATTCCATTCTTTGTAATCAGCAACTGCTAAAATGACCTCATTACACAAGAAGTGAAGTACAAGGATATGAAGCTATTTAGTTTCTTGAGGTTTATTCTTTATTCTGGGTAAACTTCATCTGCATAGTCCTGGATCAAAATTCTGAAGATAACTTTTAATTACATATTGTTCCAATTTTTGAGTCTTTTTTTCAGGGAGATTAAAATGTCAAGTTTTGCTATCTGTTCTGAAAGTCATTAAAGGAAAAAAAAGTAAGTGTCAGAATGCCGGAGTTCACAATTTCAACAGGATACACTGATAAGGTGCCAATACCTTATTTATAATGTAACAAAGAAGCTAACAATTCCCATGCTGTGCCCTGTATATGTGAACTTTTGGAAAGGACACTCCTGTCCCTCCCTGATATAGCCTAGGAAAAAATATACCAGACCAAACATCTCAAAAGAAATTTCATACCCTGCCTAAGCAAAAAATTATGCACTTCAGCAGTTCCCAAAATCTTTTGATGGCTAGCTTGCAGTTTCTGTGTTGGTAGAAGATAAACAGAAACCAAGAAAAATAAAACTAAACTATAATGAGTTCTTGAGGTTTCATCATAAAAGCAAAAGTTAAAATAGTGCCTTATGTGATTTTGAAATCACTATCTTTTAACAATGAAAACTAATTCAATCCAGTAATAAAAAGGACATAAGATTATTCAAGTAATTTATCACAAATATTACCAATTTAAATTTCACTTATCTTGATATCTTGTTATTATAAGGGATATGAGTTGGTAACACAGAAAAAGAAGTTTTGAAAAAAAAAAATCAGATATCACTGGTAACACAGACAAAAAAATAAGATCTCTGTCAGTGCAATGCCTGGCCCAAGTGGTAAAATGAACAAAATATCTGGATATCCAGGAACGCTGGGAATCAATTACTAATATAGCAGTGTTAACATAAGTAAGATGTTAAAACAGTAGTGTAATACGGCCAATGGTAGTAGGTGAATCAAGTCCCAAATCATGTTCCAAATTCCCTTCTAGACCTGACAGCCAATATCTGTTGTTTGACTCTTCAGCATCTCACAGCATGCTTATCTTTTCTACCATTCTCCTGATCTGATGTTATACACTATATTGTTATGTTTTTAATAATTTCCCTAAAATTTACTATTTCCACTTACAGAGCTTGCAGTTATCTTGTGCAGAAGGATAATCAGTGTTACTCACTACCATGATGTGCTTCTGATGTTTAAAAAAAAAAGCAGAGACAAAAAGCAGAAAGAATCACTAAAAATAACCAGAATGCACCAGTATATAAGTTTCATCTTGTAATTAAAGTATGTACAATGTTGTAAACATGAACTCCTAATGCAGTTCAGAATATGCACTGTTCTGAGTCTCTTGGAAACGATCTGCTCTGCACTCACTGGGAGTGGTTATGTGCCTGAGGAAGACAAAAGAGTGGCTAAGAGTGGCATACAGACTGATAATAGATCTAGATGTCACGAGACAATCAAAAGATATAACGAAAACATTTTTCCCAAGACAGAATGGGGAATACAATGGTGACATGAGACCTCCAAAAAAGTAAACCATTCTGACGTCCAGGAAAAAAGTATTATCACTTACAGAACTGAGAAAAAGTATCATACTTTGGATATTACCTAACATTGATTTTTTTCTTTCTAAGCTTTTGTTAAAATTAGCTGAGGACGATATTATTTGGTACACAGCATTTGAAATCACTGTTTGCCATCTGTCTCATTCTCTCTCTCACAAAGTCTGAGAGATACTTTCTGATGTCTCAGTTGCTGTGGCCATTGCTATGAGCAGCTTCATGCACACAACAGGACCAGTGTATCGCAGATGAAATTTCAAAGCGTAGGTTCTATTCTGATTAAGTTAAAAACTTTTAAAAAGTAAAAGATAGAACCCGAAATTGTTTTGTGTACCTGGAGCAGTTGGCAATCTCCATGGTTGGTCCTTCACACAGCCAGCCTCCACACTGAGGAGCAGGACTGTCACACACACGTGTCCTGCAGAGGCAGGAGCCAACACTGGCACCATCAGTGTGGGTGCAAGGTTTCCACTGCGACCATGTTCCAAAATGCCCATCCACTGTCAGATTCCTCATCTAGAAACAAACACAACAGAAAGGCTTACCTGAGGTCTGACAGTTCCTTCATACAACCTCTTAATTCTGCAGTAGATGGAGGTAGAGCCTTTGGCCACTAACAATGACTCCACTGGAGAGATATGACTTCCAGACAGCAAGTTCCCCTTACAATTTCTGTAGCTGCATGATTCCCACCACCTCCAACCAATCTGGGCCACTGGATGCCACCGCTACAGCAATAACAATAATCACAACTAACCTTTCGCAACCATGCTTGCCTACAGTGATTCAGTAGAAAGTATAGTTCACTTTCTCGATTATCTTCTGATGACAGTATTCCCTATTCCTGAAAATCTACCTGTGATTAGGAACCTGGATACTGACTGTAAAACAGCATGTGCAAGAACGCTTCTGGAAACCCAAATCTAGATTGAAAAGAAGAGGCAGCAGAGGACAATAGTCCAGGGTAACAAAACTAGATGTATCACCCTCAAGTCTCCATGATGAGTGTCTTTTTTTGACAATCGTTTTTTTAAGCACATATTATATAGCACTTCATCAAAGTCAAATGTGGTTTTAAATATGACTCTCTCTAAACATTAGATGTAATTATAGTATAAATCCTAAAAACACCTTCAAAAGCAGCACCTAACCCTACATGACGAGACAGTTTGCTCCTGCTGAAGTCAATTCTCAAAATCTTTGGCTGGAAGTGTCAGACCATTCTCATCTTGACTGGAATGTTTCCATCATGCAGCCATAACACATGTTAATAGGAAATCTTTACTGTCCAGCTGAAACAAAATGTGCTAATGCCACCATGGTTACTGGACCTTCTAAAGAAAATGGGCCTGGCCACGGGGAATTCAGCTCTCTTAACAAAGATAGGCTTTCATATTATTAATTCTTTTAGCAAGGTGTTAATCTAGACAAATCGGTGATCATAAATGGAAATGATGGCCACTTTTCCATTTAAATGCTAAAGGATTTGCCTTTTGATGGTCACATTTTAACTTTCAGTCAAAACAGCAGTACTAACAAGTGCATGCTAAATAGCAATTAAAATCACTCTTAGACAAAAATAAATATGTATCAGTTGTAGCCACACATTTTATGAAATGTGTAAAGAACATAACACTCGTAACATTTGCTTATGTATTGAAATAGGAACTACAGTTGTAGATTGTCATGAATGATCTGACATGGTGTCTCCCTTTGCTATTTTTAGTATTGTTTCATTTTAACAGTGGTGAGGGAAGTATACATTTCACCAATAATTTGAAGACACACGAGATTCGATTACAGTACAAGACATGTTTCCAGTGTCACGCTGGGTGCTGGCTGATTCTTTCCACTGTGATAAAGGTTCCATAATTTCACTATTAATTACATTTCTCATGGTTTAGTTTTCACGGATATACCTTCTCCATAGAACAACTATGTGTATATTCTGCCAGCTCCAACTGACATAACCAAAATTCATAACTTCAAAATTCTGCTGACAGCTGTTTATTGAAAATAGCTCACCGATCATGCTGAGTATACATTGTTGGTTTTCATAAGACAACAGGAAATACTTACTTCTTGTTAAGTGACAAGTAAACCCATTCTCTCTTACAGTGCTGGTCTAACAAATATACAGTCCATAAACGAGAAATTATATACCCCAATCCAATTAATGTCAGAGCTGTGAAAATGCCTTTACTGCTTTCCATTTCTATGCTGGACCAAAGCACCTTTATTGTTGCACCTACAATTATAAACTAAAGCTACAGTTTTCTATGGTTACCATAATTTATATCAAGTGGCAGGGAAAGTATTCATAAAACTTAGCTGAAAGGTTGAGCTCAGCTTGAGCACATAGTGATGGCAGGTTTCTCTTTCTTGACTTTTTTTCCCTACTCCTGTAAAGATCATCCCACTGCAGTCTCTGTTGTTCCCCTTTCACACACTGATATCCAACAATTTCATCACAGGACTACAGAAAAGCAAAATGTACTGATGAGGGGCCTTTTTAGCCCTCACCAGAACCTACGCACATCAACCTTCACCACCTGACACACCTCAAGGGGGAAAATCACAATCAATCAGACAATATGGCTGTACTTTCCTGGCTTTCCTTCTCTACCACCCTGTTTCTGTCACCCTTTCTCTTCTGCAGATACCTCTAGTCCCTTCTTCCTTCCTAATGTCCTCCAAATATCAGTCATCTTTGTCTTGAGCCTCTCTGCACCCACCTTGTCTTCCTGGTATGTGCCTCTGCACTCTGAGTCAAGGTCACATCTTCAATGACCCAGTCCTTAAATCTGCCATGAGCTCTTTGGTTTGAGATTACTTTGGGTAGAATTCAGTGGCTCTGGAGTTATTTCCTGAAGCTGCTAATAAATTCAGGTAAGATCCCATGCCATACGCTTTCCCTGAGTGCAATGTTTGCTACAGCTGTAAAAATAAAGCCATTCCATGTTGCATACTTACGTAAAAAAACCCCAACTTTTAAAAAAATTATTTTTACTTTCCTTGTAAAAGCTCTTTGATAACATCAGATTGTATTTTTATGTGATGGATTGCGAGTGGTCCCACTGGGAAGTATTTCGGCAAAACAATGAACCTTCATTATTACAAAAAATATTTGATGAATAACAGGGATATCTGACCAGCTGGAAGAAGCTCAAAGTAGATATATGTGCCATAGCATTAATTACTATCTACATTCATGCACAATTGTTGTACATGTGCCAAGTGAAACAATAACTGAAAAAAACAACTTGATAATTAAATCAAAACAAGATAACCAAAATAACCACATTTGTTCACAAATGATCTTCAAAGTTCAGAGAGACAATAACACAGATGCTCATCTACCTCTACTAGCCCCCTCCCTACTCTACCATGAAATGCCAATAAATATTCAGGTATATAAATAATTCCCTAGGAAATAATTTGTCAAGTGCAACTGATCACAACGTTATTTTTGGCTAAAACTTAGGCTAGTGTAGGAACAGGCCTCTCTCTCTGATACAAGTTTAGAAGAAACTCGTGACACATTAAACTGACAGATTTTCTACAGTGTTAAAAAGATCAGTGTATTTAGCAACAATTAAGATACTGGAACCAATTGGAACGGAATGAGGGACGGTAGAAGGTTTCTAACATTCTGTTATGTTTGGCCTGCAACATTATCTTAAATGTATATAGCAAAGGTCAAGGATGTGCATAGCTCAGTTGCCTACAAAATGAAATCCATTACATCTTGATTTATATATCCTGTGAATAAGGCACATAAAAATGCTATAAAAACGAATATTTGAAAGCCTTGCTAAACAAAATTGTAATCGATTACAGTTTGCCGGAATACATTGTTATTTTAAGGGAAATTTCTATGAAGTTTTCAGTTTTGGCCAATAATATGTTACTTAGAGTTCAGATGTTTAAAACAGTAAAGTGGTAAAACCACGCTTTTCAATTCAGAGAGTTAATTCTAAAATTTTCCTTATATTATGCAATCCCAATCTGTCCAACTCCAAAAATCCTTTGTAGGATCACTAAATCTTTTCATGTCTGATATGCAGAATAAGTCCCACAGCTGTGGATGAATTTCAGAGCAATCCTGTGGTGCTCCCCTGCTTTGACTGGATTGCAGACCCTACACAACTGCTATGTAATAGATACTAAATAATTGTTTTTCCAGTTGAACGGAATAGAATTGAATTCTGCTTTCTAAACGATTCCTCCCTGCCTCTCCACCCCCTCTTGGCCTCATGTTTTCTATCTATGAAAGAAAATAAGGGCTAATGCCAGAATTCAAAGACTAAGCAGTAGGCAGACTGCTCATGCAAGTATCAACCAACCAACCCATTCCAGTAATCCTTCCTAATTCAGCAACCCAACAAGGCCACCAGCAAACCCTCCACATAACCACATTTACCCTGTGGGATTACCACAGGGACGTATGATACACTCGATGTACTTGGAAATTAATATACTGTACAGTGCATCTAGTTACTAGTGACTGAATCCAGACTTTCTGTGAGACAATAGCTATTTCTCTACTAGCAAGTGGTATGCATATAAACTGCAAATCTGGAAAATAAAACAGTTGGTGTTGAAGACTTGACACATACACCATATGTATTTTGTGGGCTTTACTTTGGACTCACTCTGGCCATGGATGAAACACCTAGTAGTAGCTGGAACACATTTTTGGTTTAATTTCATCTGAAAGTAATGTGGCTTGTGTGCTTCAAGACTGCTTTGTGATGTGAACCAAAGAATAGTAGATGGGAAAAATCAGAGTATTCTCCCCACAGTTGCTCCTGATTTGAGCTAAAATGCTAATATAGACGAATCCAACGCAAGTCCTTTTTATTAGGCCACTATGTGACAGCATGGATGCAAAGGACAGGACAAGATACTGTTTAAAAAACTACTATTTCATGTCAAACACAGACAGTAAGAACACAGGTGCTAGTTCTCAAGGACCTCAGAATCAGTGCAGTGATTTCTATCTATGAGGCTGCTGCAACACATACAGAGATCACAAGTGAACACTGGAAGAACTTCACACTAATTTTCCGTATCTCTAGTTCACTAAACAAAGCCCAGCTTAAGAGAGAAGCATGTCAGTAAGATGTTAAAAGGAGCTTGTTAAACACATGGAGAATAGAACATGGATGTCATATGAGCACAAACTCATAGACGCATGTGCTCCATTGACTAGCGGGGACAAGTTCAAGAAGTCCTTATTAGCGATGAAAGCACAACTGAGTTGGAAAGGCTCCCTCTTCGTGGGCAGAAGGCAAAGACAAAGCAGCATGAGTCTCCAAAGGAAAGAGATTAGTAGCACAAGGAAGATTCTTCTTAACTCACTTTTTGTGCTTTTTGGACTGAGGGAAAAGAATCAATAATAAAAGAACATTGGAACCACATTAAAATAGAGGGATATAAATCAACTGTGTTGTGTATTTTTATTATATTAAATTTATTCAAAATCATTTTTAAGTGTTAAGCTACTGTAAATATTAACACTAAGTTTACTATAATTATCACTCCTGTCATTTATGTGGGTGACACTTAATTCATATAATTCACCCTTCCAGTTCATGGACTTTGAAAGATGTTATATGGCCTTTTATATAAGCAATAATGATCCTAAAAGAAAAGATTATACCACTAACGATTAAATTTTTTCGAAGTACAAACTGGAGAAAAATCCTGCAGAGAAAAACATGTCAATATCTCTAATCTTAGTGAACATTTGCTTTCAAGGTGGAACACAGATATTACAGGTAAAAAACAACTACCCTTTGAAAGTACTATAAATAATTTGATCATGTTATATAAGCAGTTTGGTAAGAAACAGAAAAGAAACTAAATATCCTGTTAAAATCTGATGGGAAGGCCTGAGAAAAATGGCATTAAATACAGTTTTCTAAGCTTGAAAAATATATGCCAGGTCATTTTCATAAAATTCACATGGACTCAAAAGTTTATCAAAAGAGATAAATGAATGTATTTGGACTTACTGGACACACAGTAATGCTTTGCTCCCATTGACTCATGCTCAGACTTTCTTCCAGCGTTGTGCATTTCTTCATCACCACGTCCCAGCCACAGTAAGGGTCTTGGGATCCAATGCATGCACTGTGAATGAAAACCAATCAGAAAACATGAACATTTACGTTCGTCTGTACTGGCCAAAGATCTCTAAATGACCATGTTGCATCTCTTCATGTTTCACAGGCCTGAAACAGATAGTGAAATTGATCCCTGTTGTGGTACGGCACAGATGAAATGACAAAACAGAAGAAAAATGGATTTGAATGCCCGCACAAAGCTAGGATTTCTTTTAAGTGCATAGCTGAATTTCTGGCTGCATGCATGGTATGTTGTGAAGACTGATTATTGTACTTAATTACTAGAGAATTACAGCAATTCATAAAAAGTGTATGTTGTCTGTTCCAAGTAAAGAAGATTTCAGGAGTTACAGTTCTTAGTCCGTTCTATCAGTTTTGGAATTATAGTTATCATCTTTGTCAGAAATCAGATGACAATATCTACTCTTTGAAAATTCATTAAAAAAACCTCTGATTTGTTTTCCACACGGCTATATAGAATCCCTGGAAATAAGTTCAAAGGGGTGCTGGTGGCTGCCATAACACCTTTCACATATCACATGCTGCCCTAGACATTCTCTCCTAGTGGCACATGAGGAGAAAAAAAGAAGGTTAGAGAGAAAGATGGTAGTCCAGCTTCCTACAGACTCTGAAAGACCCACTGTACCAAACTAGAAGTTCTTTTCTCTGTTAAATGGCAACTTTCTCTTGCTACTGGTAGGTCAAGCATTAACGGTCCAGGCAACAGGTCTGCAGCTTCATAGCTGAAGATGCATGAGAAAGTAGGTGGAAGTCCCATTATAGTGAAGCATAATAGAATTGTTTTAACGTTTTGTCTAGATTATGAAAAATGCTAGATCATGCTTGTTCAACTCAAATCCACGGAGGTTATCATCCTCTCTTTAATTGACTGTTCACATTGCATCTGTCCCAGTGAAGGGCCTCAAAGATGATTAGGAAACTGGAGCATCTTTCCTACGAGGAGAGGTTGAGAGAGCTGGGACTGTTCAGCCAGGAGAAAAGGAGCCTCAGAGGGCATCTCATTAATATGTGCAAACACCTGAAGGGAAGGTGCAAAGAAGAGGGAGTCAGGCTCTTTTCAGTGGTGCCCAGGGACAGGAACAGAGGCAGTGGGCACAAACTGAAACACAGGAGGTTCCATCTGAACATCAGGAAACTATTTTCTACTGTGAGGGTGACCGGGCACTGGCACAGGTTGCCCAGAGAGGTTTTGGAGTCTCCTTCCTTGGAGATACTCAAAAGCCATCTGGATATGGTCCTGGGCAACTGGCTGTAGGTGACACTGCTTGAGCAGAGGGTTGGACCAGACGACCTCTGAAGGCCCCTGCCAACCTCAACCCTTCTGTGATTCTGTCCTCACAAATCATCTGTCATGTTTCTATTTATCTCTGGCATTCCTCATGTACTTCCACACTAACATCAGACAAAACACAGACTTACTAATTCCCTAGCATGCTATTCCATAACACCACCACAGAGGATTCTTAGTGCTTCTAAAGCTCAAAGAATTAGTTTCTACATTACATTTGGCAATGTGGATTGCCAGTACTATGTGGGAGGATAGTTCCCATCTGCAAAATGGGCACAGAGTAAGAGACATAATAGCCAAAGCTCCCTAGGTATCCCTAATTAGGCTGCCAGTTTGAAGACAAAGCTTTTGGTTTAGGAGATTCAGTGTTCAGAAGAGTGTTCCCACTGATGGCTCTTGCAGCTGTGAGCACTTAGCATGCACATGTTTCCATTTAACCATCCAGAAGCTGAGGAGGACAATTAATGCAAATTATGGAAAGTTTTAAGCATCTTGGCCTTCCAGTGTTTGCAAGACAAGATGTTCAGTGATCTTCTTCAGAGTATCTCTGATAAAGCATGTCTTTTATGAAAAAAGAATGCAAAAAAAAGTTAAAAGCTGACATAAAGTACAATTGGCAACTTCAGTTGTGCTATTTCTTGAGGTGCTCACTGTTGCAACTTCACTATTCCTTTATGTTAAACGTTAATATTTTTAAATGCAGTTATTATGCTTTAGATACTTTTCATTAAAAAATAAAATATTTTAAAAGACAGTATCCTTTCACTTAGAACCACGCTCACTGGAAGTAGGCTGATCCTTCTCTTACTCTGATCTTTTCCTCTTTTCACTATTTTTTTTTTTTTCCTGATGCCATTTCCTGTTTTGCTTTTGTTTCCACATTACTTTCCACTCAGGGAAGTTAAAATGGCTTGCACCTTTCATTACAATTCACTTAAAGTTATAAATAGGGCACTAAAAGCATATTTTGACCATTCTTATAACTTCCTGATATCAGAACAAATCTTAGTTTCATGGAAGAAATAAAATTTAAAAAATGCTGAAAAATCCTTGCACTGCTGGGACAAAGCATGTTCAGTCACTATGTGGACACCGAACGTGGCCATTTCAGTAAGTGAACAGGCTTGGAGAGCACTGCAGCAAGATAAAATGAGGGGAATATTTTCAGAATTTAGTTAAGAAGGTCCACCAAGCATAGGAAAACTATTATTTTAAGAAGTTAATAACTCAGCTTAGCTCATGCAGATGACAAGAGGCCAAGCGCAAAGAACTTCCTCCAGAAATGAGAGGCATTATCAGTCTTCAATAATTTTTTTTTCTTTATACTACATTATATAAATTAATCCTGGAAACATATGAATTATTCCAAACAAAGCAACAGGAAACTTTTTCTGAGGAGTATTCCTCACATGAAAAACACTAGTTTTGCCCTTTTTTAAAATAATGTTCTAGCTGATTGACCCAGTCATTATTTTATCTAAGTCTCATCTTGTTAAAAGTTTAATTTTTGAAATCCTATGTTGAGACAGAAAAATCATACCATGAAAGTGTAGTTCAGCATCATCGCCCTCTTTCTGGCATTTCAGCTCACCATGCCAGATATATATTCACACAGTGAGGCAGGACCTGGCTTAAATAGCTGCCCTGTTCTCAGGTATTGGCACAAGAGTCCTTTTCTGTTCTCCTCCCTGCCTCACATATCAGAGGGTTTTCTTATTTCTTTTAGATCACTTGCTTAGATCATCAATATCTCTGAAAAGTGGATATATTTCCTTTTAAATGAAAAAGAGAGAGGTAATATGCAGGTAAATTTTTTTCCATATTTGCTTAATTATGTCACCTTTTAAAACCATTTTCTTTCCTTTGAGGGATAATCTAGTGTGTGAGTAACATCAGATAATTATTTTGCTCTGTTATGCCTAGATAAAAAAAAAGAAACAAATAACAAAATAAGTTAACGGACAGAAAATGAGGATAGAATAAAGCTTGTAAGTATGAAAATACCAGAACTTCTATCTGAAATGTGAAATTTAAAGGGACTATTATTAACTCACAATTATGTGTCCTTAGTGCTCTCCATCAATAAAATTTTATATACTTTTAACCTCTTCTTAATGAATCTCTCTCCCAAAAGACGGCAGTAGGAAGAACAGCTTCAGTGTATACAGTAAATAACAAAAGAAATTGTACAAAATGGCTGTCAAATTCACGTAACTAAATCTAAAAAGTAAATCTAAAAGATTAGATACCACTATACATCTTTACCCCTTTCTCCTCCCAAATCTCTGTCTAAATTAAAGCCATTTTAGCTGCTACTGTTGAAAAATTAGGTACATTTGAAAATTAGTATTGGGTCTTTCAGTTGACGGGGCCCTTTCAGATAGTGACACTGGAAGTAGCAGAGTTGGATATTAATATATTAACCATCTTGTCTCTGGAAGTCTACCTTACATCTCAATTTCATCAGAGATGAAAATGAATGTTTTGTCTGTTACTCCCAGTAGGCACCAGCCCACATTTCTAAGACTTCACATGATTTGTCCCAGCACTGCTAAAACCGGCAATTTTGTGCAGGAAGGAAATTCAAGAATAAAAGCCAAGACTCTTGATGCCACTTACCCTTTTGAGTCAGCACTCTGCAGAAAAACATTCAACGGCTTTCGGTTTTTACTTAGATTGATTCTAATTTTCCTCTATGTTGTCATTTCGGTATTTTTACCAAACGTAAATGATACGTAGTTGAGTGTCTCTCCTGCAGGGCATTCATTTGGCTGCAATGGTTCGGTATGCCTACTGCCAGTCATGCAACGCTTAAACAATGGATTTTGACTGATCAGTAATAGAACCGTAAGTCATCCCACTCTAAAGCAAGCCAGTAATAGCACGTCATTTTCCTCAGCTATTTTGTAATTATCACCAAGCAGGCTAGCAAAACTGCTCTACTTCAGTTACATTTGAGATGATTTATTCAGACGGAAAATGAGGCAGAAAGGAACACCATTCAAAGCAAAATATATAAAACACTCCACACAGTTTTAGACGAAAAAGAATTCTTTATGTGTGCCCCAAATTACAAAAAAACTCTTAAGATTAAAAGCTATATCGTGATACCATTGATTTCAAAGAGATTTTAAAATCGTCTTTCAGGGGAAGAATATATTCCCTTATCAATATACATTGTAAGTGCTAATCAGGTATCTTCTTGAGCTGTAACATTTTATTCGGAGAATGTATAAACATAAGAGGTGCACCTTCTGATACTGTTCAATGAAACATTTTTCTGTCTTTACCTATACACAGCATTTGGAAGAACAGAGGATATTTGAGTCTCCTGACCCTTTCAAATCATTTCTACTGAGATAGCCATGCCCACAGTTCCAATTACTGTCAACTGTGATCTGAACACTTTGTATACCAGGAACTGAACCGGGGTCACCATCTTATTTCACAGAAGCCAGATTCCTCACTGCAAATTTGAACAGACAACTGAAGATAAAAGCCTGTCTCATGTTCCAAATGCACTGGGTTATCTACTTCTGAATGAATACACAAATCTGATACCGCTACACAGGTGCCTACCGGTACTTTCATTACTGCTGGTTTTGTAGATACATATATGTGTGCGTGTGTGTGTATATATAAGCGCAATGAAGAACGGGGACCTGAAGATATAGATGAATGATGCAGAAGAACGTAAA